GAATGGAATGTCGCTGGCCAGAAGTAGATACCGGAATAGCTATCGCCCTGGCAAACTAAATCGGCTCGGTTTTGAGCCGATGGGACTCTAGTTTCCTAAATGAATGGTCTCTCACACAGGGTATAGCATCGTTATGTGAAACAAATCAGGGGAGAGTTGGTCAATTCCAGACTCTAGTGAAATTCTTCCAATTGCGGATTTTTCACACGCCACGCCATACCCCACCCCCACCCCGCGTAGCTAGCAGCGCGGCAAGGTGCTCTCTCTGATAGTTGGTGTGAGGTTAGACCTCTCCCCCATATACGGCCATAGGTAGCTTAAGGGAGGAAGGTCTTGGCGCAAGAGGAAAGGGGTCGCACTAACTCGCCGTTTCACCCATCCCGAGGCTGTGTCATCCTCACATAGGATAGTTTCCGAGGTAGAACTCACCTGAGCTATTGTAAGTGAGGGTAAAGAGAAGTCCGCCTCTCAGAGAATGGTCGACAATGCCAAACGCGTCTTTTTACAGCCGGTTGTGCACTAATGGTGCAACGATCCAGGGGCAAATTGGCAGGGTTTTTGAGTTTTGAAAACGTTCACCTGGCAACGGACTCTTGAGAAACGAGTGAGCGTTTTGCATTTCTGCCCTTTGCATCGCACCCACTCTTGGAAGGGCAATCGTTCCTCTTTGAAAAGGTTGACACAATGTATTATGTAGCAGGAAAAGAAGCCTCCTTACGCTTCTCCTTTTTTTCGAATTTCGAAACGGTCACGGATTTTCTCGTGCACTCTGCAAAAGGGATTCTCGTCAGCTCAAAACCTCATATGACCCGAGAGTTTTCGTGCGATTCATGGATATGTACATAGTTAGTGTCACCAGGCACACATTAGCATATGAAATCATGAAAATATTTTGTGGGTACGACCTGCTTCCTTTCTTCGCAGATGAAAATTGGCTTGTCCCACCTGTCTGCGAAGGATTTCTTGGTTCACCTCGAGACTCAGTCTTCATAGGCTCCTGAGTTTCGAAACAGCTGTTTCTCTTTTCGGACTCGAGGTGATAATCGTATCGACCCTACCGCCCTTCTTCATGTCTTCCGCATGCGTTCTTTCATATGAAACCAGCTATTGTAGTTGAGCACATCCGTGTTTCGGTGAAAGCAAGCGGCACAAGAGTTGGCAAAAGCGTACTCACCGGCATCACGATTAGAGCCACTCAATGTGGCAGTGGTGCGTCGCAGGCAGGGTCAAGAATCATAGGGAAAGTGCCCTGTCCATACGACCTTTCCCATAAAATTCTAACCTTTCTGGGACCGGTAGTTTAGGACCGAGGACAAAACAAAAATAAGAACGGGGAAAAATTCTTCTTTATTATGACGTCAGGACCCTCCGAAAGAATCCGTTATGAAAAGAAATTTCGTCGTTGAGAATTTTTCCAGGTGACGAGGGAACTACCTTTTGCGCGCAGGTGGCCACTCTTCAGGAGGCCTAAACTTCGATTTACACACAACTTTTGGAGGAGGTTCTGGATATGTTGGAAACCGCTAATATATGGCGCTTTTTGATGTGCATTGGAATTCTGCTATACCTGGGTCGAGGGCGAGTCCAATTAGCTAGCGGGAAGTGCTGCTTCAAATTGCAGCAGTAGAGTTTTCAAGCTGAGAACTCAGTATTTCTATTCTCTTTCCACGGCTCCTTACAGAACCTTCGGAACGCCCAACGGCGCTGTTCGGCGACGGATTTGGCACTTCGGCATCTTCAGTAGTTCCGGTCTACAAATCTCGTTCTGGTGAAGCCTTGAACTCTTGCTCAGCTGGAGCAAGCTCGTCCAACCACCATGATAAAAGGTGTCAACTCTCGCAAGGCTCGGCACGTCTATGGGAAGTGGCTAAAAGCAAATTGCCCCCGCCATCGAACTGCACCTTTGGATGTGCGCCACGCACACGACCTCCTGCACATTCTCAGTAACAGGCAGAGGCATTGTGGTTCACGAAGTAGGTTTCTCAGCCTGATGACACACTTCCTGTAGTTAAAAGCATGTGGAAGTACCTTTGCGATAGGATATCTCTCTTTAGAGCCGCCGTTGCAGTTCTGCTTTTGACCCTAACTCGCACACACATTGTCCCAGTTCTGTTTCCCACCGACTTCTTCAAATACGACAACCCCCCAAAAGCAACTCAGATAATATCCCTTCGTTGAGGATTCTTCAACAACTTAACCCGCTCCGCGGAATTGCTACCTTTTCAAGTGTTAATAGGTCCTCCTACCAAGGTTGACAATTACTTCTTATGAAGTTTGACTGATATCATTTCATGGCTTTACAAAATTTCACAAATCTCTACTCGATAGCTATGGGAAGCAGCGTAAGTGCAAACTCCCCTTCCCCTCCCCTCTTCGCTGAACTGCCTGAAAAATGTTCTTTTGTACTGATCCGATCCAGGACTGTGTCTTCATGTGTACCACGTGAGAGAGCACAAAGGCGTAAAAAAGAAGTTTGCGAAAAATTCAGCAGACATTCCGAAAAAGTGGGACTCGCCGGCGAGGCAGTGTATAGCGCGTTCGACCCAATAGGGACGAAAATGTATATGCGAAATTTTTGTAGGTTGCGTTTGTCTGGAAATAGCTTTCCCCACCTGATTAATAGGGTGTCGAATATCTGCATATGTCTTCATAATTGACACGTGTTGCACAGGTGCCAGTTGACATTGACAGCCGAGAGGATTTGCGATGGCTCGAATTACTCGATTAGCACTCGATCGTACTCAGAGTGCATATGACAGCCCTCACGCGAGTGTAAGAGGGGGAGAAAGCCCAGTTAAGCCTTTTCGAATGTGGAACATAAAAATAACAATTTAACATATGTATTCAACAAGCAATATTCTGTACAAGATCTCTTTGATGGTATAGCATGACTTAGATTCACAGAAGAACAAAGCTGCACATGGTCAGATGAAGAAGCGCCAGATGAGGTGCGCCAGAGACGAAGGGTAGGAGGACGGCTAAAAAAGTAAATTAGACAATAAGCAATTAAATTAATTTCTTAGTTAATAGTATATGCTTAATGTACTTATAATCATGATGTACCTGACAGAACTCCCGGTCGAAATTGTCGCAGAGTTGTAGCAGACGACAGGCCCACATGTTTGAGCGATTTCTGGCGACTATGAAGGGCAAAAACTCTTCGCGATAACAATAATGTAAGGCTGGAAGTAATAAATGATGAAAGTAGAGTAAAATCCTCCGTCGGAAGCGAGAGTATAATCAAAAACTGAAGAAACTCACATGAATCGTTGAAGTTGCAGCCTTTAGAAAAAGTGGAACCAGAAGCACAAAGGGCTGTTGAACTGATTGTGAAGTAAGGATATGATGCAGAAGCTTCCGTCCCATAACACGGTAAATTGAACGAACTATCCATAGTGAACATCTAAAATGAGGCAGAAGTTGGGGGAACATCTAAGAAAGAAAAAGAACGGGAAAGGAAGAAGAACGAAAAGAAATGAAAGAAAATTTCGTCTTGACTTACCATTTTAAAAGAGACGGCTGATGCAATAGTGCGCGCCGTTATGACGCTTATCGTGTTCGCGCCTCCCTCCGGCTGCTCCGCCCATCTACCGTACCCCGCTCAGTTGAGTTCAGACATGTCTTGGCGTTAGCAGCGGTAATCACTTGATGGTTACAGGAGGATTGAGAAAATATTCAACAGCAATAGTGAGAAGTTTCTTTACTTACCATGTCTCATGTCTTTTTCTAGCCGTCTGGCTGAGATTTGGAACATTTCAAAGTTCACCTCATGTTCGCGTCGTGTTATGGCGATTTTACACGCCGTTATTTGTTAAGCAGAGTAGGAGGATAAAGGATAAAGGATAAAGTCTTCGCCGTTGATCAATCCCTTTGTGGGATGCGGCACGCATTCTACTTCCATTCAGAATCGTAGTGGCTTATTGAATGCGATGTGGCCTATACAATGACTTGCGGGGGCCAGCCGATGTACAAGTCAGTGTTTTATCCTCCCAGACGAATCTGGTACCAATTTACCGTCCCCGGAGGGTAGAAGGCTTGGTTGGCCTGGGCGGGTGTCGACCTGGGATTCGAACCCAGGACCGCGCGAGTGGTAAGCGCGCCACTTGTCACTACACCACCTCCGCCTCAAGTAGGAGGAATGAGAAATAATTAAGAACAATAGTACGAACCCTTTCCTTACCTTGTCTCACATCTTTCTGCCCTCCGGTTGAAATTCGGAACAATTTCAAACTTTGCGTTATGGTCGCGTCGTGTTATCGTAATTTGACAGGCCGTTATTCGTAAAGTTAGCAAAGGAGCTCAAATTCGGCTATATGTGTCACCTTTATACTACCATTCTCCTTTCAGACTTTGGTAGAAGTCGCTAGATAATCCTCCATCATGAGAAGGAAACTCCAAACCCCTAATAAGAGGTAGGCGTGGTTGTATAATTCATTTGAACGCG